GGATCATGACCTGAGCCAAAGGCAGACACTCAACGACTGAGCCACCCAGGCGCCCATCCCTGGCAGGTTTCTTCTCAAGTGTCAACCCTTTCCCCAGGGATGGTAGCCTCCACTCTAATGGTATGGCAGTCATCTTAATTGAATTTTCTTTCTAGTACCAGCGAACAAGTTCACGGATTCCAAGTATTTTTTCCTATAATTCCAACCACTTTTCCTATGAGACAACCCAGGTAGTCTTGTTGAGGAGAGTTGGCTACTGGCTTTGGAGGCCAAGGGACATAGTTTGGGAGTGTCAGCCTATTGGTGGTAATTGAAGCTGTGGGAGCAGATGAGGTTGCCCAGGGAGAGAGTGCAGAGTAAGAAGGGGACAGGAACTTCCATGTTGAAGGATTAAGCAGAAGAACTCGAGAGAGGCAGGCCAACCAGGAGGCTATAGAGTCTTGGAACTCGAGAGAAGGGAGGTTTTGCAAGGGGAGGGGTGGTCCAGGGAGATGGAAGACAATGTCATGGAAAGCCTATGAAGACAACTAGATGCTGTGACAGGTCTCCCCCACCCAGAGGAAGCTGCAGGAGAGGGTGGCCATGCCATTCGGCCTCAGTGCCTGCAAGTGAAGGGGCGGGTTGATTTTACTATTGAGCCTCATTTTTTCCTCTGCTTTCTTTCCTTCTCTCTCTTTTTGTTCGTAGCGGTTGATAGCCCATCACGACCTCTTCCGTCTCCTACTTGACCTATTTGCAAACAGCTCAGCTGCCCCAAAGTTTGGAGTCGAGAATGAGGACCTGGCTCTCCTCTTTCTCTGCATGGTGACGCTGCCCACAACTAACTGCTTCCACATCCCCGTTGCAGGCACTGAAGATGCTGGCCATTGCCAACTCCACGGAGATCCCCACTTTTGTTACTGGCCGAGACCCTCTCCACCCTTTGTTTGATGCCCAGATGACCAGAGAGATCTTCGCCAGCATCGACTCAGCTACCCAGCCAGGCTCTGAGAGCCTTCTCCTTACTGTCCCTGCAGCCGTGATCCTGATGCTGAACACAGAGGGGTCAGGGCATGACCCTCCAAACTCCCGCTAAGCCCCAAGCCCCACTGCCGCCCCACCCACATCTCATGGGCTTCACAGAAATTCCCTTTATGTTGTTACCTCTGGATGAAATGGTGGTGGCCCTCTCTGACTGTTGTTGGTAGAGGGGCCAAGTGATTGGGGGGAGGGAGATCCCCAGAGAGAGCAGGGGCACCCTGACCTTCCTTCCTGGGGTTGGGAGGAGTGACCTGAGGTCAGGGAGCTGGATGTCCTGGCCTCAGAGGGAGCCCTGGAGCCCTTTCCTCTCTCCCCAGCCGCAGTCCCCCTCCCCTCTGCACTTGCTTTCTGCTTCCATTGCATTCACTCCCTTTCCATTTCTTCCTGGGATACCTCCCTCCTCCCAGGTGCTCCTCCGCAGTGAGAAACGGTCTGCTCCTGCTCAACCTGCTTCTGTGCAACCACCACACTCTGGGGGACCAGATTATAACCCGAGAGCTGAGGGACACCTTGTTCAGGCACTCTGGGATAGCACCGGGGACAGAGCCCATGCCTACCACACGCACCATCCTCATGATGCTCCTCAATCGCTACTCAGAGCCACCGGGCAGTCCTGAGCACACAGGTACCGTCGTGGAAGGGGCGGTTCTTCTGAGGAACCAGGCAGTGCCAGCCTGTGGCTGGGAGGGCTAAGGCTTACGTACTAGCACCTTCCTGGAAAGACACGATGAACCTTCAGGAAATGAGTAAGGGTTTTGGCGTTGAAGTTACGTCTTAAGTAGAACTTCGTGACCGAAAGGAGGAGACTCTAGAATAGCTAAGGAAAATTATATATCTAGAGCCAACATGCGGGGCGCCTGGCTGGTGCAGACAGAGCGTGCGACTCTTGATCTTGGGGTTGTAAGCTCCAGCCCCACGTTGGGTGTAGAGATTACTTACAAATCAAATCTTTAAAGCCGCCATGCTAGGTAGTAGGGGGATGTAATTATAATAGCTTATAGTTATTGGCTGATGTAATAGCATAGCTACCATTTAATAATAATAAGTAATTGTAAGACTGTATGAGATTAAAAATGTCTGTGTTGAACATGACAGTGTCTGCCATACTAAACTTTTTTCCAGATGCAGCTAGCTATATATTTGGGGCCAGAGAAGAAAATCCCCCACAGTTTGATACAAACTACAGGCATCCTCCAAACAGGAGGAGAATTTGGGGGTGATTTTCTGGACCTGCCCAGTTCTTGGTTTGACCAACTTGCATGACTCCTCTTCATACTCATTTTTTTCCTCCCATGTGTCCGGGCAGCAGCACTGGAAACCCCTGGTGCCCAGGGCCAGGATGGGTCCCCTGAGCGCCTGATCCGATCCCTGGTGGGGGGCCCGTCTGCAGAGCTCCTTCTGGGCTTGGAGCGGGTGCTGTGCCGTGAGGGCAGCCGAGGGGGTGCTGTGAGGCCCCTGCTCAAGCGCCTCCAGCAGGAGACCCAGCCCTTCCTCCTGTTGTTGAGGACTCTGGATGCCCCGGGGCCCAACAAAACTCTGCTGCTGACCGCACTGAGGTGAGGGGCCTCTTGGGGCACCCATGCATCAGAGGTGAGGGGGGGCCCGCAGACCGCAGGGACTTCGCTTATTTCCATTCCCTCACCAGGATCATGACCCGGCTGCTGGATCACCCTGAGGCGATGGCCCTCCCCTGGCACGAGGTCTTGGAGCCCTGCCTCAACTGTCTCAGTGGCCCTAGCAGCGACTCTGAGGTATCAGAACCCTGGGGAGCGTGGGGGAGGGAAAGGCTGCATCTGGGGCACCAGCTACCTTGTGAGGCTCTGCAGGGCAAAATGGCCTTTCTGGGTGGGTCTGAACAATGAGAGGGGTGGAGAGAAAGGAATGTTATCTAAGAGTCCTCAGAACTGGGGCCTTTGAAGTATAAATCTTTGGGCTGCAGCTGGATTTTAGATTCTGGGTTTAGAAGCCCACACTCACCAGGCCAAACATTCCTGACTCTCCACCCTTCCGGGTTTGTGCGTTGTGGACCAAGGCTCAGGCACCAAGGTGGGCTGTTGAGAGAGCTTCGCCCTGGCAGGAAGAAGCATCGGAAGCTGTGCCCAGGCTCTGCCGGCTTGGGAGTCCCAGCACCCTACTGCTCTGTCCCAACCTTCTTTGGTACTCTCCTGCGCTTTCCAGGTTCTCCAAAATCTCATCCCACCACATTTGCTTTTCTAAACCCACCCCTCATCCCTTCTGGGGCCCGCCCTTTGTTTCCCATACATTAATCTCTGTGGCTCTGGGCTCAGATTGTTCAGGAGCTGCTCTGCTTTCTGCATCGGCTGGCCTCAATGCATAAGGACTATGCTGTAGTTCTCTGCTGCCTGGGAGCCAAAGACGCCCTCTCCAAAGTCCTGGACAAGCACTCGGCTCAGCTGCTGCTGGCCTGTGAGCTTCGGGACCTCGTGACAGAGTGTGAGAAACATGCCCAGCTCTACAGTAACCTCACCTCCAGCATCCTGGCTGGTTGCATTCAGGTGAAGAGACTTGGGGAGCCAGAGCTGAGGGAGAACAAAAGCCAGAAGCAGGGGAAGGGGATTCAGTGTGGGTCCCTGTTTGGCACAAGTAGCAAATCTGGGGCACTTGTTTCCCAAGCGTTCCCCCACGTGGTCCTGTTCTCCCAAAATGTGTGAAGAAAGGGTTTGAGTGTTTTGTTGCCCTTGGCTTGTTCTCCATACATGTTTCTCCATGTTCTTCATATTCTGCCTTCCTCCCCGCGCCCCTTCTCTCTGATGTTCCGGCTGCAGATGGTGCTGGGCCAGATCGAAGACCACAGACGGACCCACCAACCCATCAACATCCCCTTCTTTGACGTATTCCTCAGGCATCTCTGCCAGGGTTTGTGCCCCCATCTGCTTTCTCCTGGCTCGCACCCCAGTATTTGTTCTCCCTGTCCCTTGCCTTTCTTCTCTGTCACCTAACCAGGCCGTGACGGCCACCCCTCCCCTCTGCCCCCAGGCTCCAGTGTGGAAGTGAAGGAGGACAAGTGCTGGGAGAAGGTGGAGGTGTCCTCCAACCCACACCGGGCCAGCAAGCTGACGGACCGCAACCCCAAAACCTACTGGGAGTCCAACGGCAGCACCGGCTCCCACTACATCACCTTGCACATGCACCGTGGTGTTCTTGTCAGGTAGGAACATGCCCACGCGCGCATATGCGTGCACGCACACGCGTGCGCGAATATTTCCACACACCCCAGTATACATTCTCCAAGCACCCACATACGCAACTCTGTAAACCCGATGCGTGAGGGACACACTCAAACCCATTTTGTGCAGTGAACAGATGGACACATTGATCCGCATTCCTTGTGCAGTGTAGACATCCTCGTTCCCTGAGCCTGGTGACATGCTCCTCCCACCAGGGACAGAAGTCACTGCCCTGTGCATTGTGTTGAGGGAGATTGAGAACTTCCTCATTCACTCTTCCCATGGGTGCTTGTTTAATGTATACTCTGTGCCAGGCACTGGGCCAGGGTCTGGGGCTGTAAGGACAATAAGATATGGTACCCGTCTTCGGGGAACCTGTGGTCTTGTTGGGGAGCTAGCCTGGAAAATCAGTAAGAGTAAGAAGAGGTGACACGGACCCTGAGGCCAAGTGAGAGGCTAGAGAAGGCTTCCAGAAGGAGGGGTTAAATGAGCTGAGCTTTGAAATTAGCTACATAAAGAGAGGGCAGTGGCTAGCCCAGGCAGAGGGACAGCATATGTGCAAAATGGAAATAAGAAACACAACGATGTGTTTGGGGGAAGTTTAAGTAACTGTGTTTGGCTGGAATGTAGGGTGTGTGTCGTGAAATGGCAGGAGACAAAGCCAGAAAACAAGGCAGAGCCAGACCACAGAGAGTTTTGTGAACTAAGAAGTTTGAGCTTTATTCCAAAACTGGGGGAGCCACTGAAGGATTTTTAAGAAGAGAAGAGACAAAACTAGATTTTTTTATTTTTATTTAGAGAAGTCACTCTTGGAGCACCTGGGTGGCTCAATTGGTTAAGCATCTGCCTTCGGCTCAGGTCATGATCCCAGGGTCCTGGGATCAAGCCCCATGTTGGGCTCCCTCCTCAGTGGGGAGTCTGCTTCTCCCTCTGCCTCTCCCCCTGCTTGTGCTCTCTCTCTCTTTATCAAATAAATAAATAAAATCTTAAA